CTCACCCTAGTGGCCTGAAAGCCACATCTCCTGGGTCAGCACGCAGCACAGCACCTGGCACATGAAGTACGAAGTACATTCTGAATGAATAAACTGTCCCAACAATCCCTCCCCACAGCTGATGAGTGATGGCAGCCTGTTAAGATGACCATGGAACTGACATCTCACTGGCTCAGAGACTCCTCGGGCTGTGACAGCTGGAAGCTGAAAGCTGTCAGTCACAACACCGTGAGCTATCTTCTGCTCCCGCTCTACCCTGAGCACCCACAGACTCGCCATCTTCAATCTGGGCCCTTCTTGCCGCCATCCCACTCATGGTGTCACCCTTCCCAGGCCCCAGTCACCTGTGTACCCTCCTGTTGGCAGAGTCATGCTACGAGAGCAAGCACTGGACCCACACTGAAAGGCTGCCTGTGCCTGCGTGCTAGACTTCATCTTGTCACCTACAGTTAAGTGTGGCAAGAGTGCCCCCACAACTGCAGAAAGCAGCCGCCCTCAGGAGCGAAGCGAGTCAATGGCCTGAGAAAGAAATGGCGCCAGAGAGTCAGACCGAACCTTTCATGATTCCCACCATCCATTCTCTTGACTCTTACGGCGCCACCATCATCTCTCACCTGGATGTTCGCCACAGCCTAACTACTCTCCCTGCTTCTGCCCCTGCACTCGCAGCCCCCAACCTACCATCCACCCAGAGCCCAAGGTGATCCTGCCACGCCAGGGGCGGCTCAAGCCACCCCTGTGCCAAGACCCTCCAAAGCGTTCCCCCGTCACAGTAAGAAACTGAACGCCCACATCTTTACACTGTGACCACGAGGCCAGCCTCCACCGCCTTCCAGACCTCGTGCCTGGGACTCTCCCCCTCCTCCCTCGGCCACTATCATCAAGGGTCCCTGCTCTGCTCAAGCATGCTGGCGTCCCTCCCGACCAGGGCCTCTGTGCTCACTGGCCCTCTGCCTGGACCACTGTCTTCCCAGCCACCCAAGGGGCCTGTTTGCTCACCCCCTGCAAATCTTGCTCAAATGTTACCTCCTCTGTGAGGGCTGCTCTGGCCACCTTATCACCAGGAAACCCTCCCCACTCCATGTGCCTCCAAACTGTCTACCCCAATTCTCTGCTTTATATTTTGATAACAGGATTCCAGTTGCCACCTTCTCACGGGTAACACTCTTAACTTAGCTGTAGTCTTTATTCTCTGCCCTTCCCGCTCCACTGTAAGCTCTGTGAGAGCACTGGTTCCGACGTGTTTTGTTCACTGGTGTATCTCTAGCCCCTGGAACTGTGATTGGCACAGAGTGCTGGTTAAACAAGTATCTACTGAGTGAATAAGTTTTCAAACTCTCAAAGCTGGTCCAAGAGGCCTTCTCTCATGCTCATCAAAAAGAATCAGACTTGTCTAACAAATATGTGCCTGCAGGTCCCAGCCACTTAGGTCTATTCCAGCTTCACAGGTTATACTTGCAGAAACCGATGGCCCCAAAGGTGACACGACCTGGTGAAAGTCACACAGAGATTAATAGGAAAAAAAAGGCTGAAACACCACAGAACCAAGTCAGACGTCCTTCTAACATATCACACATCCTGCCTCACTCAGAAGAGAAATTTCTAAGAAAGCACTGGCCAAATAGACAACCCAAGGACCAGGGTGTGCGGAGGTCAGGGGGTCCACTGGCAAGACCGCCTCTCGTGTAGGGTGAGACCCTGGCCAAATCACTTACTCCCGCTGGGCTAATCTGGAAGGTAGTCTAAATCAATCACCATTTATCAGCACTAGCAATGCAACGGGGAGGAAGACAGGCTCCCGACCCTCGCAGAGCTCACAGTCTGGAGGAGAAAACGAGCACGTAGCAGCAATGCTGAGTTTGATGCATAAAATGGTACTCTATCCAAACTGCAAGCAAGGCTTTACGAGTAGGTGAACTCTGAAAATCAAAAAATAAAATAAGCCAAGCAGGGGGGGGGAAAGGGAGGCTAAGAACATTGTGGTCAGCTCTGAGAGCATGAAGCAGACAGAGGCATCACACAGCATGGACACCAAGGAACCTGCAAGCCCATCCGCACCACTGAGGGCAAAGTTCAAAGCAAGGATGGGTGGGAGATGTGGCTCAAGAATTGGGCAGCGCCTTACTGTGCTTCTCCACAGGGCATTTCAGGCGAAACAAGCAAGGCCTTCACCACAGCCGACCTCAGACAGCGCATTGCTTTGTGACGCTAAAACACTAGCAAGACGCAGCACTGTCGGGACCAAGAATTGTGCCTGGCCAACAGAAAGTTTGGGAGATACCAATCAGTGATGGCAGATACACTTCCTGAGTACCAGCTATAACTGTCTTACTGATGGGTAATAACATAATGATTATCAAAATTGTGAAAGACTGTGCTATATAAATAACCCCTTAGGTAGACCGGGGGGGGGAGGGGGGGGGGGGCTCAGCGGTTTAGAGCTGCCTTCAGCCCAGGGCGTGATCCTGGAGATCCAGGATCAAGTCCCACGCCTGGCTCCCTGCATGGAGCCTGCTTCTCCCTCTGCCTGTGTCTCTGCCTCTCTCTCTCTGTCTCTCATGAATAAATAAAGTTCAAAAAATAATAATAACCTCTTAACAGTTCAGTAGTCTGTGGTTAAATCCGTCCTTCCTCCTCTGCATTTCCCTAAGCTAATGTCCATGCTCAAGGAGTCAGACAATCCTGGGAACCACTGAAAGGGCTGGCAGAGATGCAGGAATCCGGCCACGACCTCTGACAGCACAGTGCTCGCGCAGGTAAGGACTAAGCACGTGGCAGGTGATCACATATGACAGTGAGCTACTCACTGGCAAAGGGCATACCTCCGCCAACTCCTGGTGCCCGAAACAGAAGCATCGCCAGAGCAAGGCCGTGGCAGGCGAGGGGCACAGGGGGCTGGGCAGGCCTTTCTAGTGGGCCTGCCCTCACCTCTGTGCCCCGCCCTCTGCAATGACAGCCTCCGGCAGTTCTCCAAGACTCCACTCCAACTCTGTAACTCCGACAAGGGAGCTACTCTCAAAAATGCCTAAGACACGCGCAGCATTGAAATCAGAGGGCCACAAAGGTCTGTCTTTGGTGACGCAGAACCTCGCAGAGGAAAGCTGAGGACCACAGTAGCATCCCAGGGCTGTCATAACACAAGAGAAATTGATCCTCTCGCGGCTCTTCAGGCTCGGAAGTCCAAAATCACGGTGTTGGCAGGGCCTTCACAGAAGGATCCCTCCTTCCTCTTCTAGCTTCTACTGATTGCCTGGAATCCTTGGCATTCCTGGGCTTGCACACACATGACCACCACCTCTGTCTCCGTCTTCACCTGCCATCTTCTCTGTGCCGGTGTCCAAATTTCCCTGTTCTTCTAAAGATACCAATCACTGGACTAAGGCTCATTCTATGAGCCTGGGTATGACTTCCCAGTATAACCTCATTCTAACTTGATTACATCTGCAAAGATGCCATTTCCCAATAAGGTCACATCCACAGGTTACAAAATGAATCAGGTGCGGGGGTGGAAGGGGAGTTGGGGGGGGGGACGCTACTGAACCCAATACAAGGACAAATTACCAACAGATACAGTCCTCAGTCCAAACGTTTATTCGCCATCGTAACTACATACCACAGCTCCATTATTCTTACAGCTCAGCTGGTGCTTAAGAGTTGGGGTTTATTTAGACTGAGCAAGAACCAGGACCTAAAAGCAACACACAAAAGCTCCACTGTCATGTGGTTAGTTTTCCCTGGAGTCTACGTTATGGGGCATCTGCATCTGCAACCACTGGGACCCCCTATTCCCTACCATTCCGGAATCCTCACATCACCTTGGACCCTTGACTTTGGTTGCGATGAAAGCTCTCTTATTCTTCAGTCACACACGATGCTGTGGAGTAAAACGGGACCTCTGGCTGCCTCTGGTGATCCTGTCCCAAGTCACCATGTCTGAGCGGTGAGGAACCCACTCCTACTAACTCCCGAACCACTCTGAAAATTAAACCTTTCTGGCCGAACACAGTGAATTCCAAAGTTTGTGATTCTTTCACTCAACTGACGGTGTTAATTATGCAGCACTTACAAATAAGCTGTGCTTGGAAATGATTCCACGTGGAGTTGTTTTAATACCACAATTCCTAATTTTCAGCATGTCAGACATCAGCTTCCAAACAGAATAGTCTGTGTTGTAAAATCTTGAAATCTGGGACACCTGGGTGGCTCAGGCTATGACCCCGGGGTCCTGGGATCGAGTCCCGCGTCGGGCTCCCTGCATAGAGCCTGCTTCTCCCTCTGCCTGTGTCTCTGCCTCTGTGTGTGTGTCTCTCATGAATAAATAAACAAAATCTTAGAAAAAGAAAGAAAGAAATCCTGACACTGGTTTCTCTCTAATCCGCTTCCACCAGCAGCTGATCTCCTAGGCACGGTCCACTACTGTCTTCACATTCCCGAGGCCCCCGCCAGGGCTCAGGGACAGCCAACCAGGACCCTGGAGCTGTACGCTGCACCCAGGTCGTTGCAAGCACTTCATTTCTTGTTTAATTTTTTTTTCTTAGTTTGCCTCCCGCTGCTGCCTGGAGGAAGGAGCTGGTTTTGAGGCCAGAAACGTGGGATACGGAGAGATTCACAGGGAGTCAGGAATCGGCTTGAACAAATTCTCAATAAAGGCAAAAGTAGCCCTAGGTGGGCAGGACAGAGCAGGAGGCCAATTGACTGCCCCTCCCCCTCCTCCCCTCCCTCCCCTCCCCCTTCTCCCTCCTTCCCTCTCCCTCCCCTCCCCTCCCCCTCCCCCCTCCCCCCATGCTCCCTGCGGCCACGGGTCACCGGCCACGGGTCACCTCGCAGACCCAGCGCTTGACACCCCCCAGGTCCGCCCACGCCCCTCAGGTCGCCAGCGGCGCCCCCACAGCGCAGGTCGCCTGCCCCAGGCCCCCAACTCCACCCCACTGCCCGGCGGGCCTACGCGCCCTTTTGACCTCCGACCCCTGACCCCGACCCGGCCTCCCCGTCACACCCACCTGCCCGGGACTTTGCTGTTGCTGCGCTTCCAGAACTGCTTTCTGGCCCCGTCGCTGGCCATGGCCCCTCCTCATCCCTCAGACCCGCGGTCCCGACACCCCGAGAGCGAACGGTCGGCCTCGGTGGCCCCTTCCTGTACCCCGGGGGGGCCCGTCCGCCGTCCCGGGACGCCGGAGCCTGGAGCCGAGAGGCTCTTCCGCCTCCCTCCGGAAGTTGTGCTGCCGCGCCCGGAAGTCCCGCCTGCGTCCCAGGCGCTCGCCTGACGCACTGCGCGGGCGCTGACGGCCTTAAGGCGCGACGACGGCGAGGAGGAAGTGCGGTGGCTGCGGCCTGCGGGGCGGGGACCCGTGTCAGGGCGGCTCCCCGGGCCCCGAGGCCGGCTCTGTGCTCTGCTGCCGGGCCCGGCGGCGGGGGGGGGGGGGGGGGGGGCTGGGGCGGCGGGAAGCGGGGAGGATGGAATTAGCCTGTGCAGGGGACATGGTGAAATAACGGGGTGTGTCGGGCTCAGAAAAATACGCCGCTGAACTTCACGTTTCTTCTTTTCTGTTTCCTTTTTTTTTTTTTTTTTTTTTTTTTTCCGATTTAACGTAGCGCCCGGAACATGCGAGTTACGTGGCTTGCCCTCGGTGTCGGCCGCAGAGCCGGGGCCGAGACGTCGGGGCTGGCATCTCTGCGGGCCACAGGCCTGCGGTGCGCTGTGACCTTGGGAGCCCGAGACACGCCTGGGCCAGTTGTGACCTGCCGCCCACCTGCCGATGGCCTCGCTGCACCCCTGCCCGCCCGAGGGGCTGCGTGTGCAGCCGCGCCCAGCACAGGCCGCCCCTCCCGGACCTGAGCTCGCGCCCTTTCCACAGCTGCTTGTGCTCCCCCTGCAGCGTTGGCCTGTTTGGGTTGTATCTGACCCCGCACGCGGCGTGGGAGACGCTGCTGGCTCAGCCCTAGGTCTTCGGCCTCTGTAAATGTTTGTTGGAGGAAAGCCAACGGGGACTCTCCAGGGATCCCCTCGCGTCACCATAGAAACCCCAGGAATCTTCTTGTGGGGCGATCTCCGTGGGTCCTCGGCGACCCGCAGGTGACACGGCCTCAGGAGGGTTTCAGGGCTCCTTTGCTGCACAGCCTGATGAACTGTCCGGGATCCTGTCCTTACATGAGCTCAGGGAACCTCCAGAGATGTGCTGATAAAGTTTCGGTGGATCCTGGGGGCCTCCTTCCCTACACAGCCTCAGGCAGCCTCCTGGGATTCTCTCCTAGGGGAGCCCAGGGAGGCCCTAGGGGTCTCTTCCCCACGTATAGCCCCGAGGCCTCAGACTGGTGCCTCACAGCATCCGGGATCCCCGGCAGACATCACCAGGGATCTTAGGGGTTCTCGGCAGCTCTTCAGGCTCATTGCAAGAATCAGTGAGATGGAAGCACAGTTGACAGAGCGAAAATGGACGGTAGTAGTGATTGGCTAGATGCGATTATAGCAGCTTAGATCAGTTGTCCCTAGAGCTTGAGGATGCTCCCCTGCCTCGTCTCCTAGGGGAAGGAGCAAGATGACACCAAGATTGACGAAAGCTTCAGGACCCGCTGAGCGAAGGGTTGGTAGTGCCGATGACAGAAACAGGAGAGCAAGGGGTCAGCCTGTTGGTAGCCCACGTTTATGATGGGTTTAGGATGAATTGGGTTGAGGTCGCAGCTTTAAGGCCTCACCCATGCATGAGGTTAGAGGACAGATTAGCCTCCAGATAAGGGAATGGGAGGACCGGCCAGGGCAAAGTCACAGGAATAATAGGGCAGCATCATGAGCAACATGATCAAAACACAAGGCCAAGACAATCTCCAGAAATGGGTTTTGGCCAGAGGGTGTGGTAGAGATAGGGTGTGGAAGAAAGAGCATCTGGTAAAAGTCCAAGTGTATAAAATATGGTAGCTATAGAGTCTAGAAATGGGATCTCTGCAGGCATCAAACAGGACATGAATGAACAGAATGAGTGGAGCCTTTTGCATTCATTTGTGCAACAAATAATTGTTTTAAAGATTGAGATAGAAAGCATGTGGGGTGGGGGGCAGGTGGGGGGGGAGGGAGAGGGATGAGCAGACTCCCTCGCTAAGTGCAGAACCCAACAGGGCTCAATCCCATGACCCCGAGATCTGAACCAAAATCAAGAGTCAGACGCTCAACAGACTAAACTGCCCAGGTGCCCCTGTGCAACAAATAATTTTTTTAATTTCTTTATTTAAAAGAGAGCATGCGGGGGATCCCTGAGTGGCTCAGCGGTTTAGCATCTGCCTTCGGCCCAGGGCGTGCATGATCCTGGAGACCCAGGATCAAGTCCCACGTCTGGCTCCCTGCATGGAGCTTGCTTCTCCCTCTGCCTGTGTCTCTGCCTCTCTCTCTCTCTCTCTCTCTCTCTCTCTCTCTCTCAATAAATCTTTAAAAAAATAAAAGAGAGCATCTGCACTTGAGAGAGCACAAGTGGGGGATGGGGAGGGAAAAGCAGACTCCCCCAATAAGCTGGGATCCCGACTCGGGGCTTGATTCCAGGACCCCAGGATCATAACCTGAGCACAAACCAGACATTTAACATAGCCACTCAGGCACCCCAACAAATAATTTTTGAGCAGCCAACACAAGAAGCTTACTTTCACTACAATTTAGGCTAATGGAAATCAAGTCCAAGGACCTGCCATTTCACACATAAGAGATGGGCAGAAACTTAAAAATCTGTTGATGCCAACGTTGACGAGGCTGTGGATTTGTGAGCAGTGCAGAATGAACGGATTCACTGCTGGTGGGAGTATGAATTGATTCAGCAACCCTTGACAGCCATCTAGCAATTTCAAGCAGTTGATGCACATATCAGACAACCCAGCAATTCCACTGCTGGTGTTCTAGAGCAACTCTTCACATGTGCAAAAACAAGAGCATTCATTGCAACAGGCTGCTACTGCTGGTGGGGAGAAGGTCATACAGTCATCTACAGGAAAATTGATAAAGAATACATAGCTATCCGATAGGATGCTATGTGGTAATGAATAAATTAGTTACATACATCAACACAAATGAATTTCGCAATATTAAGTGAAAAAAACTTTGAGTATGGATGCATATGCTATTTAATCCTATTTTTTTTAAGATTTATATTTATTCATGAGAGACGCAGAGACAGGCAGAGGGAGAAGCAGGCTCCCCGCAGGGAACCTAATGTGGGACTCTATCCTGGATTCCAAATCCCGGGATCACACCCTGAGCTGAAAGCAGATGCTCAACCACTGAGCCACCCACGTGTCCATTAATCCTAATTTTTTTAGAGTAGAAAAACTGCTACATGCTATATTCAGGAGAGTGATTGCCTCTGGGTATTGGTGGGGACTCATCAGTAAGTAAGGACTTCAGGGGCTTCAACTTTATAATGATGCTTTATTTGTGATGGCAGAGGGAGTGTATTCAGCTGTTCTATTATTTATGACTTCTCTCATGTATAAAATATTTGCCAGCAAGCACATGACGATTATGGAGTTCCTACTGCTGTGTCTGTGAGCACACTCTTGGAAAAGGATGCAGCAATGAACAAGCAATGATCACGGAGAGGCTGGGGGGGGCGGGGTCAGGATAATCAAGATCTGTGACTTGTTTAAGGTGAGGGGGGGTGGGGAGAGATAGAACAAAATGCAAGGAGTGGTTCCAGGTAGAGGGAGCGGGTCACCACTGCAGCAGGGAGACAAAAGAAGACTGGGGTGCTGGGTAGCAGGTGTCCTCTGTAGGCTGCAGGTGATGTAGGTCCGGTTCCCCAAGAGGCAGATGGTTACGTGCAGGCGGCTTCTTGGGGGGGAGGTTGAACGGTGAGGGGCCGACGGGCCTGCAGAGATGTCCTGAGTGGAGGTCAGGGTGGAGCGTCTGCCCCGCGCACAAGCCAGCCATCGCACAGCCACCGCCCTGAGCAGGGGTGCCTGCAGCTGCCTTTGCTGTAAATGGGTCCCCTGGACCAATGCAAGGTGGCACAGAGGCTCCTGTTGATGGGTCAGACTCCCTGAAACCCACTCGCAGGACACCCGTCCGTGAATGTGGGTCCTCTGGCCTCCACTCACATGCCCTGCAACCACCCTCCGCACAGGGGATGCCAGGGCATGTGGTCTGGCCGGGCATCCATTCCCACCCAAACCTGAGTCCTCAGGACCCCGGGTGGCTCAGCAGTTTAGCACTGCCTGCAGCCCAGGGCATGATCCTGGGGTCCTGGGACCGAGTCCCACATCGGGTTCCCCGCAGGGAGCCTGCTTCTCCCCCTGCCTGTGTCTCTGCCTCTCTCTCTCTGGGTCTCAGGAATAAATAAATAAAAGTCAAAAAAAAAAAAAAGGAATTGACTCACACAATTATGGAGGCTGAGAAGCCCCACGGCCCAGCACCTGCAAGCTGGGAAGCAGGAGAGCAGGTGGTCGTAACCCCAGTCTGGGGGCAGAGGGAGTTGAGAGAAGTCCCAGCCCAAGCAGCCAGGCAGAGAAAAGTCCCACTCCTCCCCCTCCTCCTCCCTCTCTCTCAGGAGTCGCCTGAGTCCCCTGCACTCGGGGGAGGGCCACTTACTTTTCTGAGTCTACCAACTCAAATTCAAATTTCACCCGGAAACATTGCACAAACACCCAGAAGGGTGTTTACTCTTGGCATGCCTTGGCCGGACACGTGAAATTACCCACCACCCAATAGACGGCCTGGGGGCATTTCCTCAGCTCCAGAGGCTCAGACCTGACAAAGGCAACAAGCTCAGGTGTGCTGCCTCACGGTCACAAGATGGTGTTGTAGCTCCATCCATCACGTGCTCCTGCCAGTGTCCCTGCCAGACAGGGAGGGAAGGAGGCCGAAGGAAAAATGAAAGAAAAAAAAAAAAACCTCTCCAGAAGTTCTGTTTTCTGTTTTATCCAGGAAGGCCCCCGTGGCTTCCTTAGGAGCCAGAGCTAAGTCAGACACCCAAGGAGGGACCAATGACTCAGGCTTGGACGCATAAGAACTTCCCCTCGGGTCGGAGGACAAGTCACTTCCCATCCAAGCACTAGGTCTCCGCCCGCTCCGAGCTCAGGCCGCTGGCAGGGAGGAAGGCCGACTGGCCAGAGAAGCCTCGTGTTGGTGGAGGTGGCCCTGCGGGGCGAGGCCCGGGGCAGGGGGCCTGGGAGGCTGCGAGCCTGACTCCTCCCACTCCCACCTCCCCGCCCCCAGCTCTGCA